AGAGCATTACTGTTACTAGTATAATGACTAAGAATGTTACTATTACTAGCATAATGAGTAAGGATATTATTATTACTAGCATAATAAGCAAGAGTAATACTATCTCTAGAATAATGAGTAAGAATGTTACTATTACTAGCATAATGAGAAAGGATATTATTATTACTAGCATAATACGCAAGAGTAATACTATCTCTAGAATAATGAGTAAGAATATTACTATTACTAGCATAATAAGTAAGGATATTATTATTACTAGCATAATGAGCAAGAGTAATACTATCTCTAGAATAATGAGTAAGGATATTATTATTACTAGCATAATAAGCAAGAGTAATACTATCTCTAGAATAATGAGTAAGAATATTACTGTTATTAGCATAATGAGTAAGGATATTATTATTACTAACATAATGAGCAAGAGTATTACTATCTCTAGAACAATGAGTAAGAATATTATTGTTACTAGTATAATGAGTAAGAGTATTACTATTACTAGCATAATGAGCAAGAGTATTACTATCTCTAGAATAATGAGTAAGAATATTATTGTTATTAGCATAATGACTAAGGATATTTTTAATACTAACATAATGAGCAAGAGTATTACTATCTCTAGAACAATGAGTAAGAATATTATTGTTACTAGTATAATGAGTAAGAGTATTACTATTACTAGCATAATGAGCAAGAGTATTACTATCTCTAGAATAATGAGTAAGAATATTATTGTTATTAGCATAATGACTAAGGATATTTTTAATACTAACATAATGAGCAAGAGTATTACTATCTCTAGAACAATGAGTAAGAATATTATTGTTACTAGTATAATGAGTAAGAGTATTACTATTACTAGCATAATGAGCAAGAGTATTACTATCTCTAGAATAATGAGTAAGAATATTATTGTTATTAGCATAATGACTAAGGATATTTTTAATACTAACATAATGAGCAAGAGTATTACTATCTCTAGAACAATGAGTAAGAATATTATTGTTACTAGTATAATGAGTAAGAGTATTACTATTATTAGCATAATGAGCAAGAGTATTACTATATCTAGAATAATGAGTAAGAATATTATTGTTACTAGTATAATGAGTAAAAGTATTACTATTACTAGCATAATGAGCAAGAGTGTTACTACTACTAGTATAATGAGTAAGAAAATTACTGTTACTAATATAATGACTAAGAATATTACTATTACTAGCATAATGAGTAAGGATATTATTATTACTAGCATAATGAGTAAGATTATTACTACTACTAGTATAATGAGTGAGAGCATTACTGTTACTAGTATAATGACTGAGAATGTTACTATTACTAGCATAATGAGTAAGGATATTATTATTACTAGCATAATGAGTAAGATTATTACTACTACTAGTATAATGAGTGAGAGCATTACTGTTACTAATATAATGACTAAGAATATTACTAATACTAGCATAATGAGTAAGGATATTATTATTACTAGCATAATGAGTAAGATTATTACTACTACTAGTATAATGAGTGAGAGCATTACTGTTACTAGTATAATGACTGAGAATGTTACTATTACTAGCATAATGAGTAAGGATATTATTATTACTAGCATAATGAGCAAGAGTATTACTACTACTAGTATAATGAGTGAGAGCATTACTGTTACTAGTATAATGACTGAGAATGTTACTATTACTAGCATAATGAGTAAGGATATTATTGTTACTAGTACAATGAGTAAGAGTATTACTATTACTAGCATAATGAGCAAGAGTATTACTATCTCTAGAATAATGAGTAAGAATATTATTGTTACTAGTATAATGAGTAAAAGTATTACTATTACTAGCATAATGAGCAAGAGTATTACTACTACTAGTATAATGAGTAAGAATATTATTGTTACTAGTATAATGAGTAAAAGTATTACTATTACTAGCATAATTAGCAAGAGTATTACTACTACTAGTATAATGAGTAAGAGTATCACTATTACTAGTATAATGAGTAAGAATATTACTGTTATTAGTATAAGGAGTAAAAATATTATTGTTACTAGTATAATGACTAAAAGAATTACTATTATTAGCATAATGAGCATGAGTAATACAACTACTGGTATAATAAGTAAGAGTATCACTACTACTAGACATTTAAATACCTTACCTGAGCTACCCATTTTTCTGCAGTTTTAGGTCCAGCCCCCCAGACGTCAGCAAATTTATTAATAATCTCTATATTTGGATCGAGGTGGTCTAAGCGCCGAAGATGACCTGTCTCGATTATCTCTGCTATTTTAATTGCTAGTCGGTCACCAATGAATGGCAGTGTTTTGACCTCCTAGGGTAAAAATTCACAATAATGCTACAATCCCATTACAAATATTGAAAAACGATAATCACAACTGCATTAGAGTGTTGTTTGAAATGCATTGCGGTAATGATCCGAATTTTAAGAATGCGATAATTTCAGTAACAGAAATGTATATGCAGCAAATGCAATATCCATTAGGAGCTGGCTTCATGTAGGCTTGTTGCGCCTGACGTAATGTCTATTTGCCACTGTTCCTCAGCTCGAGATTTGGTCTTAATGTAGCTTACAATCACTGCCAAATGTGTTGGTACTTTGCTCTGGAAGTATCAGGGAAAGCCTGTGAATTGGTTATAAGCATTTTCAAACCTAACATCTTTACACCTTTGCTACAAGCATCCTCAAACCCCACATAAAAATAATAACTCTTTTTAAAGGTAAACAATTCTACATTAAAGGTTGTAATTTCCTATTCAGACATGAAGATTTGATCTGAAGAACTTCTGTATAATCATTAACATGACGTCACTGACGGAACTGGTGTCTTAAAATCTTGAGTTTACTGGGTACTTGAAAATGTACCCCGTTCCCAGGTTCTTTTTGTCCTTCTTCGCTTTATCTATACGTAATTCTTATTCTTAGCTTTTGTTTCTCGTTCAAGCAAAATGATAATACCAGGTGAACTAAAGGAGCAATAACGTCAAAATACAACTTGTAAATCTTTGCCCACAGACCTTTAGCAATAATCCCGCCCATTAAGCATTGCTTTGAGTCAGCTAAAAATTCAGATTCGCAAAAACCTTGACGCGAGTTCTAATGATGAAAATTCGTTTCAGTCATTAGGTCAGTATTCAGTCAGTGGGGTGCAATATCATTAATTGATTAATCCTATAAAACCAATATGCCCGTACCTCAACTGTTTCTATCCTTTTGGGGTAGTTTTTGATAGAAGCTATGGCTTTCTGGTATCCCAGTGCTCTCCATCGGTCTTGCTTATTTGTGTATGCTTTTGCAAGTACCTGAAACAAAGCTGTAAAGATGCAAAACATTATATAACCAAAACTAGCCTTCAATTCCCTGGGGTCATTCCGTTGCAAGTCTTCTGTTCCATTACCTCTTGACTTTATTGAAACTTTGTATGCTTGAACTGTTATAAAGTTGCAAAAACGTTGCAATACGAATTAAATTCATAAGCAATACGATGCCTTGTCTTATCTTCAAGGTTCTTCTTTAGAAAAATAAAACTTCCATATTCTCCAATGCATGATCAAATTCAGTGGTGTGGTCGATAAAAGAGCTTTATGAAAAAATTTTTGATGTCATATATCTATTAATATATATATGTAATTATTTGTTAAGTTAACATGTATTGGAGCAAACAAACAAAAAGCAAAAATTTCACATTTTACAGATACATCTCTGTGGTATACGCTTGGATTTATTTGCATTAAAGCATATTCTGAACGAAATAAACATGATTTCCAAAAGGTGGTAACTGTGTTGCTTTATGGTTCATATTATCACACTCCATTTACAGGCAGAATCTAATTCTAATGACATTCCAGCTATTGAGTTATCTGACGTCCTACATTTTTATCGGACGTCCGTCCTACGCAGGGCAACCAAAGATTATTCTATTTAAATACTGTTACGCTTATTGTCAATATAGCCTCATGTTGGTCCGATGTTGTGCGTGAGTTTTCGTGAGCTCTCGAATAGAGCCGAACTAAGGCGATGGCCGCAGAAGGACAAGGAAGGGAGGAAATATCTGCCTAGATGCCTAACTTTTTTGCGCATGAACCTATATCCTTGACACAACAAGATGACAATGTTAAACTTAGTTTAATAGCCCTTGGCTTCTGAAAATATTGTAGTTATGAAAACGGAAGAGCAAATTGCAACTTTATAACGTTTTAAAAATTAAATAATAAGTTGATCTTGTTTACTGATATGCAACAGACTAATTTGTTTCTAACCTCAAGCTTTTCGATGATGTTTCTGTTAAGATCTTCTCCCGCTTTTGTTGACGGTTTCATGCATAGCCATGCACCAGACTAAAATAATAATCATAACTCGATGTAAATATTGGTGTAATCGAAATTTAATTTTCCATTTCTCGTCCCCAAACATGATTTATACCCACCGTTTTGGCTGGCGATGCCATTGTACCTCTTTTTAAAGGGGAAACCTGGGTAGCTTCAGATTCATTTTCCGAATCACTGTAGGCTGATTCATTTTGACTGCCAGCAGCATTATCCTCGCATTTCCTCTTTTTGACGTACTTAAAGCTTTCATCCTTTGTGGGTTGCGTTGATACAAACGATGAATTGTTTCGAATCTTCTCTGCTACCTGAAAATTAATCAACAACCGCGTAATGCTGAAGATTTGAGCCATCATTTAATGGGATTTGATTAGCCAACGATCATTAAAAATTTCATAGAAAGGAATTTTGTTACACCCGCAGTTCAGTTTTGACAGTTTAAACCCTAACCTATATTTCAAATAGCCTAACATGTTCAATGCGTCAAGTGTTAATCAAAGATCCAAAAGCTTGTACGAGAAAAACATTGGTCAAGGCAGTTTGACTTATGAATAGGACAGGTTAAGACTTTTGCTTTATCCAACATCATTGCATGGACAGAAAATTATTGCAGAAAGGAATTTCGGTCGGAGTCGAAAGTTGACGAAAAAGGGCACCATAGACGCCGAATTCCTAGAGCTCCCAAGATTTTGAGATTGTCTATGGTCCTAATTTCCTTCAAAATGCACCAGATCTACTAGATATGTGTGATTAAAGGAACTAAGAATAATAAAAGGAATTATATAAAGGAGATACAAATAAGTCTGAAATATCCAAGTAAGTTCTGATAAGCTCAAGCTGTCTGTGAAACATAAATGACATCTAGGGAAGCAAAACCGAAAGGGAAGTTAGAGGAAAGTCTGATACAACACAAAAGCTCTGGATCAAACACTTAACAATTTTGCTGGGGGAGAAAGGCTTTGTTGATCTCCAGCAGTCCATCACTTTGCAACGTACGAGGAAGAGCCTATACCAATATAAAATTCACATACTTTAGGCCGATGCATTTATATACTTCCTGATGATATTGCCTCAAAGTAGACGAAATGTAATGCTTACTCAAGCATTGCTGCAAGGAACACAGACAGTTCCATCTGTACAACAAAAGCCCAAGAACAACAAAAGGCGAAGCCTGTCCCATATCAAACAGGATTATACAGAGTATCAAACAGGATTTCAATCAAGGTTGAGACAAAAAATATTGCATCTAAATTCTAACTACGAACCTCAATTGTTTCATCTACCAAAGTTTCATCGCTCTTTGCACTTGATGCTTTAATCATTTCATAAGGGGAATAGTCACATTTCTTGCAAGCAAAAAAGCACGCACTCAGCCAGTCAGCATCCAAAACTTTCACTGATTCACTAATATTATCTATCTTTAACGCCTTAAAAAGTTTTTCAATTTTCAAACTTTTACTTGTTATTATGTGTGTAATATTGTCACCATATTGTGAAACAACTGTACCACCAAACTTTTCTAGCTGCCTGCATAAAATTTCGACACGTTTCTTGCCAATCCCAGGTTCAAAGAAATATGCACATACTCCATCCATGAACTGAAACTGATTACTCCCAGGGCTTGAACACTTTTTTTTTGAAGCCATATCATGAGCATACCTAAAAAGGTTGCAAACATTTAGATACATGAAAAAGAAGTTGGTTGAATTTCTAAAAAAAGCAGGTTGCATTACAAAATAATTTCAGCCACAGTGGTTTATAAAATAGATTGATAAGATCAGAACTGATCAGCTTTGAAGGAGTAACATAAAATCTAACTGTCTGCAAAGAATTCTTTTATAGTTCAAAAGTAAAATAAAAAAAGAAAATCTTAAACAAATAGGACTTTTTGAAAAATGATAAGGCTTAAAATAATGTTTGTTGGAATCATTTAATATTAGAAGGGCTATAGGGAGGAGCAGTAAACGTTAGTGAGCATTTTTAGTCATACATTCTTCGAATGTAGAAATCATTCGAAGAAATAAAAAAAGTCAAATTCATGCAGCAAATCAAAATAAAAGCTAAACATTAAAGAAGAATTAAAGTAAATAGTCAGTCAACCCTTAACCTAAAAACGCCTTAGCTTTTGATCTTGGCTGTTTATTTCTTCGTTTGCATCTTTATCAGATAAAGCCACACAAACTTCTATACCCCATAAATATTTTCTGTCGCCAATTCCAACAATGAAGTCAAACGAAAGACTTATTTCTTGAGAACAGTGGTTCTGGTTCTACCGTTTTTTCAACTCATTTTTTCAGTAAATTATAACACTTCACAAAATTATTTCCAGTACATGAATTTGTGGTGTTGTAAATTTCTTTTAGAATAAACCCTGTCTTGTCTAAACTCTCATCGAAAAAATTCAAATACTTTTCTCTAAGAACCTTTACGATTGTGCTAACCAGCTTTTCCGATTCCAATAATCTGTGAAGGATAAAAGGGCTTGTACACAGCTGATGCATTGGTCAAATCAGCCATCTCTAGCAAACAATCGTTGCTTTTGACCTGTTCTGCTTAACTCAATGTCAATTTTGATACTGTAGACCTATCTGATGCTAAACTCTAATACTAAGAATGACGTAGACTTACGTTGACTACATTAAAGTATGAAAGTCGTTCATCAACACATCTCAGGCAGTACCATGTGACATTGAAATATGTATACAAAACATTTTGACTAGCGCGATAAGAAATTCTGTAGTTTAACGTTAACTAACCATTGAGGCTAAAATAATTATAGCAGCATTATTCTGACTTTTTTCAACAAAGTCAAGACTTCCTTAAAAGGTCAAGGGTAAATTGTGATCACGTGACCCTTTTTAATTGCGAAAAGGGATCGTCTTCAACTGAATGTACTTAAAAATGATTTTACCTAGGGTTGTGAAGCAAATAATGTAACTTGTGTCGTATCCAAAAAGGAATATTTCATTTTTTTCCTCTGCAGAGGCATAACGTCTCAGTGCTAACTGTTTCACCCTCGTTTTCACCTTTAGACCTCAGCAGATTACCGTTCACCATCACTTTTCTGAACCCCTACATATATGGATACTTGAAAATAACCACAGCAATTTGTGCGGTTTCAGGTGGCGGCACCTCCCTAAAAAATAACCTGGTCCATATCAACTTATCAACTACGCAACATTTGCTTGGCATACAAAGTCTTACGCACATTGTCAGTTACCCAAATGTCAAATCAGCAGTGAAAGATCCTTCTTAGAGTTAAAGCTATTTATGAGACACTATGAAAGACGACAGGCTAAAGGCTACAATGCAAGTGAGTTTACTTTAGAAAATTGTGAGTTTACTTTACAATGTTGGTGAAAAGAGTATACTTTAGAAAGTAAAAGAAATAAAGATCACCTGGCTCACAGCACTCAAGAAATGATAAAATCACTTTTTAGAGAAAAACTTTTGAATTTTATATTATATATAATTGCAGTTGCGCAGTCCCGACATGAAGGTTTCATGTTGTTTCTGCTTCTGCAGCTCTGCACACTATTTCTGATAATCTTCTCCATTCTTTGCGGTCCTTTGCTGTGGATTGTATCTTTTCAAAATCACCATTGTTCTTCATGTTTGGTAGTGGAAAAGACCTTTCCATTGCTCTTGCTCTGGTGATAGCTTTATTAAAGGTTGTCACGAGAGTTTCTCTAGGTCTGCCTCTGAATCCCCTCTCCGATCCCTCAAAGTAAAATCTCATTGCCTTCACAGCCGGTGTATCGTCGGACAAACGTAATATGTGACCAAACAGCAGCCATCTACCCTTGAGGATGTCAATTGAAATTGGTTCTTCTTCGCATCTTTTGTACAAGTTCTGATTGGAGATCTTGTTAGGATACTTTTTTCCTATTAGCTGTCTCAGTTGCTGTCTGTGAAAAGCATCTAGACCTTTCGTATCTTTTTCTGTCAGTCCCCAAGTAGAGCTGTTATACATCAAAACTGGTTTTACAAGTGTTCTGTAAAGCTTGAGGCGAAGTTTTTCGCTGACGTGATCTCTTCTGATCCATAGTGATTTAATCTATTCATGGTTGCTATCGACAACTGTTTTCTTCTTTGTATATCTTCCGTATCACCTAACAGAGCCAAGCTTTTTAACTGTCCTCCATCGCTCTGTGTTTCTGTCTCCTCGAAAAATTTCTGTTTGCTCTGTTTTGCTGTTGTTTACTTTTAAATTATCTCTAAGCAGAATTTCTCCAATCTTTTTTGTGATGATATTCTTCTCCACTTCACTAGTTGTGAGGAAATCAGCGTCGTCAGCATATAGAGCTTCCTGAGGTAGAAATGTTGGAGACCAGTTACCACTTTCTTCATCATCTTTACTGTTAATCTCATGTCTAAAATTCCTTTCTTTTCGGAGTGATTCTTCAAAATAAATGTTAAACAGTACACTGCTGAGTGCATCACCTTGTGGTGAGCCCATATTGCTACTGAAGGGCTCTGTCTCGGCGTTGTTTATTCTTACATCTAGAGTTGTATTGCTCAATAACAACTGAATCATTCTTACTTCGTCTTCGTCGAGGAATTTCTTTGCAATATCAACAAGCTTTTCACGTCGGATTGTATCAAAAGCGCTACTCATATCTATGCTAGTGATGTAAACATTAATTTGTGATTTTTTTGTATTTGCAATGATCCATTTGTATGCCCACACTATATCTGAAGTACTGCGACTCGGTCGATATGCTGCTTGTGAATCTGATAAGAATTGTTCTACCTTAGGTTGAATGCGATGTAGAATTATGTTTGACAAGATCTTTCTCAGTATTGGGAGTAAAATCACTGGTCGTAGGTTGGTGTCAGGGCCTGTGGTTTTTCCAGGCTTCTGCAAGGACACAAGTATGCGTCACGTAGTTCTATTTCTTTTTCAAAAGCTTCATTTAGGGTATTTTTAAGGCCTTGGACAGGGTCAAGCTGACTAACTTTTTGATTCAGTTCTTGCTCCTTATTTTGCTTGAGTCTATGCTTGATTTCATGCAGGATTTTTTTTCGTTTTTTTCAGTGCCTTGTACATAGTGATGTCATTACATTGGGACAGATTTAGTTGAAGTTGTTTTTGCTTCTCTGACATTTCTTGAATGTTTTGGTCGTGCATTCTTCTGTTTGGTCCAACTTTCTTGACATATCCTCGATGTTTTTGTGCTGAATTTGTAATTTTTTCTTTTATCGCTCTCCAATCATTATTTTAACATTGCTGTAATTCTTTTTAATTTCATTTTTGTACTTTGTTTGTAAATTTTCATCTTTGACCAATGGCGTACAATTGAAAGGTGTTTTGTTTGTACTTTTTGATTTTCGAAATAATTTGAATGGCTCTATCCTTAATCTGCATATAACTATACGGTGATCGCTGTTGACTTGCGTACCACCGTAGGATCGTGCATTTACTAAAACGTGTTTTCTATTCCCTGGACAAATGATGTAATCAATTTGGTTGTAAATATGTTTGAATACTGTTTACCAATTTTAGATATTTTATAACAACTTGGAAAACCACTTTTTACACGTAGTTCTTCCTCGCATTACACAATTCAGGATATAAACGTTAGTGGAGTGGTGAAGGAAATAGGCAGTTAGAATATGGTGAGCTACAAAACGCTACATATGACATTGTCTAAAGGGAAATTGCCACGTAAAAATGCCATAGTTTTTCCAAACGCATTTCCAAGATGGGTGTTTTCCCAAATTCTTAGGGGTCTGGTCAGCAAAAGTTTTCTCCTCTTTGCCCCACCAATCTTTCAACCATGGCTATTCCACTGCTTTTATCGTCTTTACCTCGAAGTTGAAAGCCAAATTTTAAAAATGGGCTTTTCCATCATTTACCAGTGACATGAAGGGTATGGCGCCAAAATTAGTGTCTAGCACACCCCCCCCCCCCCCAATCATTGTTGCTAAAATCCGCCCCTGGTTCGAGGCTCGTGGACCAAAATCGCTGGTATATTTCATCCTGTTGCAGAAACGGCAAAAAAACAATGGAAAAACATAGTAAGACAAATCTCAAATACACAAACTGTCCTTCAGCCAAAAATTAGAGAATTCATTTGGAGGTTTGCAAAGAAAAAAAAATCATTTGATTGTGTTTACTGATGCGTAAATTTGTCTTTTTTCTCTTTCTTTCTCCACAATATGAAGGCAGCAAAGCTTGTTGAAAGCTAAAAATTTGAGCTGCATGAAATGTCGAGGCTGCCATATTATTATTCTGAATCTTCAGACGCTAATTTATTTTTCATTAGAGCTCATCTAAAAAGATATCACAAGCGAATCACAGCTCAACTGCCAATAACTATCAAGAAGGTCCTATAAAGAATCTAGTATATAATCAAGTCCTATCAAAAATGTTTATGTATAAGATTTCTGTGTTTCACAATACTTTATATAACTAATCACGTCAGATTAAACCAGCCTAACTGTACCCAAAAAATTACCCAAGTTGGAAAATTTCGGGGCGAAAGAAGTCGGGAACATTGACTTCATTTGTTGTTTCCTGATCTCTCACTATTTTGCTATCATTTTCTGTAAGCAGTTTTGAAATCTTTAGAACTAAAAGACCAGTTACACAAAGTCTTATCACAAGTACTAGCTCCTTATCCTATTGATATTTTGATTTTACCACACTGCAGACATTTTTTCTTACAACTGTGAAATTTCTTACGTTAATATTGTAATTCTAAGTATTTCGAAATCCTCAATAAATTTCAAAGAATTTGACTACTGGTTTAGCCTGATTATTTCTCTTTTAAGAGGAATTTTTCAGCGTAAAGATATAAGTTAGGCTTGCCCCCTCTCCCAATATTTGACCAAGTGTCTGCCTCTGGCTATGCAAAATTCCCTGTGTATATTATGTAGGGTTATAAACGAAATTACAGACTTGTTTGCACACTTAGCTTAGCCGTGCTTGTCCAGAAAACCCCTATATTAATCCCTGTCTTGTCATCACCTTTAGCTTAGCCGTGCATCTGAGCGATGTTGCCGTTGGGCCAGAGCTGTACGGCTCATGTTAATTGTAGGGCTCAAGTCAAATACGTATGGCTCCTGTCAAATTTTCAAAATCGATTAGCAAAAACAAAAACCATATCTATTGCACAATATTGATGCATCAAAATGTTCCCCTATCATTCAAGAATAATTTCCAAACACAATGGCTAAGACAAGGCACGTAAATAATAGGGGGCGTGTGGGCGTGACCCCTAAAGGTTGGAAAATCCAATTGCAGTTGGAAAACTTAAAAGTTCACTTGGAATTTTTTCTAACTATAATGACCAAATATGTGAATTTTACAGCTTAGGATTTTGGGATTTCAAATGTAAAATTCTTAGATCTTATTAAAAATTCAAGCTCTGGAGCAGGCACATCTTCTAATAGTTTTTAATTGCAAAGACTTGTCTCCACTGGATCTTGAATTGCAGCATTGCATCGTTTGTTTCCTTTTTGACAGGGGTTATGGTGAATTAAATTATTTTTCGATAAGAAGTTTAAATTTTACCATCAGTATTGATTGAGCCTGAAGTTTTGAAAAATCATTCCCTGTATTGATCAGAACAATTGAAAGTGGGGATTTTTTAAGAAACAACAAGTAGCTAATTCAATTGAAAACATTAAAAATCTTTCATTGCTAGAAATTCTCAACGCTTTTTAACGAGTGTATGCTGAGCTCCCCCTGTAGACCTCCTTGAATCTTATCATAAATTGCTATGATAATGCTAATGAGAAGCCACAAAACATTGATCAAAGAAGCTGCAGCAGAGGTATTTGATCAAAGAAGAGTGTTTTATCTTACGAATCGGGCATATGCACTTGCTCTCAGATCACCCTTTTCAGTTCCAAAAAACAAAGGACATTGAGCTCTTTGAAAATTGTAAAAAATTTACCTTCGATCAAGAACAAAAGATGAAATTGTAAATTCCTTGATGCTTCTATATTGTTAAAAAAATATTTTATATAAAACTGATTTGCAGCAAATAGCTTTAAGATGGGCAAAGCAGAAAATTAACAGAATTGCTGTTAATTGACTTGAAAGAATATTACTTTTTATCATTAAACATATCCAAGATCTAGACTGGTATGGCTTTGATGTTGCTTTATATCTTACGAAAATATTAAATGTTCGTGCTACGTTGATCAAAATTTAGAGATTTCCTTTATCTTCTTTAGTGTTTTTATACTTGAGACTAATTATCATAAGTAAAATGTTGGTAATTATACAGAACCAAAAAATCTGGAAAAAGGCTATTTCCAAATCAATTTAGCAGGTACAGAAGATTAACAGGTCGAGAGAAAAAATTAATCAGGTAAAGTTGGAATTTTCAACCTTGTACGACCCCCCAAAATTAGCCACTTGTTTACGTCCCTGGCTAAGCCCGTGGCACCGTGCTCGTGCACAAAACTCTTAAAATGATCCCTGGGTCAAAGACCAGTAAATTTTTCGATTGCGCAAGAATTTTCAAAAGATAAATCTAAAAGCATTTTTACCTGAGCTCTTACCGTCATTTTTAGCAACAATTTATCTCTTTTTATCAGGTAAATGACAAGAAACTCTCATAATTGCCTAGGCATGCCAAATGTTGATGCAAATGTTGTTGTGACATCTTGAATCAGCCTCTTATTCCCCGGCTGCCGAATAGGTTCTACTCTAGGAAAGAGATTTGATAAGTGTGTAGACATCGTGAGGTGTCGATTCGTGATGTGTCGGTAATAATTCTTCCTGAAATTATAAGTATTTCATACTAATGCCAATGACATCACAAAGGCAGAGCCGTTCAGATTTCCAAAATGCCTCTGTTCTGCTTGAAAAGTTAGATAAAACTGTCAGGGGAATGTACAAGGGAGTGAACCATACGCTGTCGAAGAACTTGCTTCATGAACTTAAAAGGTCATATCAAGATGCAGAAAATACAGTTGAGCGATTAAAAGATCACATTAAAACGCAAAAGATGCAGGATGTGCAAGTTGGGCAAAACTCTTTTGCAGAGGTCAACACGCAACAGATAAAAGACGTTATTGAGGAGTCTAGAAAGTCTCATCGACAAGCACAATCAAATGCAGTTTTAATGTCCAAGGCACTGAATAACAAGTACAAATAGAAGCTAAGACAGTCAATTCTAAGCTTCTCTCTGCTAGAAAATTCTTAGGATAGATAGCTGAAGTAGTTATTTGAGAACTATATGCTTAGAGAGAGTATTTTCTTCTAGTATTTTACAAGATGTATAGGTAAGGTAAACCACCGTTATAAAATAGATAGGTCACCAAGGCCCAATACTGTTTTTTTGGTTCAGAAAGGGGCAGAATCACTTTAGCTCCATGTACAGGGTGGCATATTTTTAAAAATTCTTTTAATGGCAGTTATTGTTTCTTGTTTATGTTGCAATGTGTTGTTTCTGGTCACATCTTTCTGTATCTTGTAACAAGCACTTTTCTTTTGAAAGATTTACAAAAATTCATAGGTACCAACACTTTTATAACCTTTTTGCAAATGTTATAAGTTTCTTCTACTTGAAATTGCTTCTTTTATAGAACACTGTGTTTTATACATATAAAATTGTTGCGTCATATTTATTTGATCTTAATATTTTATGCCTTGACAATCACATCTTGCTTCTCTTTAATATGATAATATGTTTAAACTCCATATTCTACTTATGTATTTATGAACTGTATTTTTACCATATTTAATGCTTTCATCAACTCAAGCACAATTTTTTGTTAAAGATGTGACTAGAGTACAGGACCATTTAAAACAAAATTAAATTTATAGTTTAATTTTCTTAGCATAATGCTATTGAATTATAACAAAGGGATGTTAAATTAACTAGACAAAGTTCTGAGAACATTTAAAAAATTTCAAAAACAACAAGGGTTTTTGAAGAATTTTTGCTGATTAACACTTATTGAATGGCCAAAGTCTGGAATTTGAGCCAAAGGCTTTATTTCATCAGTAAAATATCATGTTTGTCTGCTTTATTTTTATTGCATAATTTTTTTCTCTTTTTTACTGGTAAAAATCTTTGGAACACTTACAATTAATATTTATAAGATATGTAATAGCTCTGTTTAAACTTGCAGAAACTTGCTCAAGTTTTCAGAAAAACGTTTTTTTAAATGTAAGTTGTTCTCATCTTATTCAGTTTCATTCTTATTCACGATTCTGGCTATGTAGGATGCACAACCCAAAGATTAGGTGATAGGATAAAGCAACATGTTCCTTCCAACATAAGAAACAAAAAGAGAAAAGCTTCCTTGATCTTGCAGGTCTAGAAACACTTTTAAAACAAGTGATTCTGCCATTAGTCAACATCTTTTAGATGACCCAGATTGTGCAAACTCTATAATGAAGACATGTTTCAGATAATTGGCAGAACCCGATCATCTTTCCATCTAGCAGTTTTGGAATTGATCCACTTGCAAACGAAAAAGCTGCCATTGTGTAGACAGAAGGAGTTTGCTTTCTCTCCTTGACTCCAGTGGTAATTTTACTTTAGGCATGCAGCACTGATTGGACAACTATACCAGTCTTGTGCTTGCGTTTTTCTGATTGGCCTTTTTGGTCAACAACTGGGTATATATTTTTCATTGTGTTCTCTTGGATCCTTATTCTGACGTTTTATGCTCGAAGGAGTTTCAGACGAAAAAGCTTTTAGCCAATATGTTATAAAATGTTTGCTTTTTTCAAAGTCATTTTCAAATTCTGCACCACCAAAAAACTGTTCAGATTTCATGTGACCATGATTTCAAAAAGTTTGGTTTCTAAATGTGTTACTATCTGTAACTTCGATAGAGACAGATTTCAATACTGCAGTAACTATGCTATCCAAAGAGTTATGAACCATAAAACATTGAACCAAATATTGAAAGCAATGTGACTGTTGTGTTATCTTACATGAAATAGAATCTAGGAAATTGTTGTTGTTGTTTTCTTCTTCTTCCTGGTTGTCTGCCCCGAGGCAGGCTCAGCGCCACACGTGCCAACCATCACGATCTTCAGCCTAATGATTAATTTCTTCGTATGTTTTTGTTTTGCCATTTAATGTTGAGAGCGATTTCACACCCTGTTCAGTGATGTTGAGTGGTGTTGAGCGGTGTTCAGCGATGTTGAGTGGAGTTTGAACAGATTAAAAAATGTTCAGTGGGTCGACTCAACATTTCTATTGTTAAAGGTGTTGTTGAGAGATGTTGAGAGCGTTTTAACACCCCATACAACAATGTTCAGTCGGTGCAAGCGCATTAGACTTGGATTTTGCGCACCAAAGAAAGGCTTCAACGCGTCAAGATCTCAGATAGTCTGGGCTCTTAGCACAGTATTTGACTTAAATTGTGCAAATTGTGATACCAGCATGAAAATGGGTACACTGTGGTAATTTCACACGCTGATGACGATGCCGAACAGACACAGGCCGGAAAATGCCCCCAAGTGCTATTTTTAGACTGGGGAACTTGGCCCCAGTCGTCGAATCGGGCCAATCTCCATATGTTATTACTGATTTATTAAAAGACTCGGAAAGGAAAGATTTGGGTGCATTGTCATATATCAAAATATATTAAGAAAAAAGGAAATGAAAAATTGCCCCTTTATGCTATTTGTAGAATGCTGCCCTGACGTTTTATCTACATTTTGCACTGACCCAACAATCATAGTCTGTGTTTTAACGACGTTCAAGAATAGCTTATCACCTTGAAGCCATTTCTCGATATCGATATGTTCAGCGTTTAACACCATGTGCAATTCATCTAAAGTTTTGGAGGAATGTGAAATCATGGTATCATCAGCATACATGTTTGCCACAGCCTTCTTTAATGCAAAGGGAAGATCATTTATATAGAGCAGAAAAATAAGTGGTCTCAAGCAAGACCCTTGTGGCACTCCAATATCAATTTCTTTAATGTCAGAAGAGACGCCATTTCTTTTGCAAAACTACTTCCTGTTATTCAAATATGATGGAAACCAATCATGTTCCAAGCTGCTGAAGAGTGGCGTAGCATCTATGTATGCTACGCTTGCGGGCAAGCGTAAAAATTTCTAGACAAATTCTAAAATTCTTGCAACACTTCCAAAAAAAAATATACCAGAAGTAATTATTTTGTTGTGTTAAAGTCAATGCATAACATTTTCCGCAATAAACGGATTTTCTCTCTCGTCATGAGCAGCATGCAGTGAACTCCAGCGCCAATATGTCAATTGGCTATTTTTCCACATAACCAGATCGCTAAAAATTGTGAAATACGAAAGATCTAAAAAATTGAACCACCTCAACATCACTCTTTTTGCCTGTCTAACATGAGATGCTCCAGTGCAGCTTCAGTGCAGCTCGAGAGAAGCTTTTGAGAGAAGTGAGAATTTTCCGGATTGGAGCTTGCGGTCAGCGTTAGCGCAAGCATTCCCAAATATTTGATAATCAACAACATTTTTTCTACCTATACGCTGCTTTTTGCGAGTATTCTTTGCGTGATACATAATTCCAAATCTAATTATTTTCCATTCTCTACTTTGTGACTGGGTAAAAATAGAAAAAGTTTCGTCAAAGTTGGGTCAAAGTCTATATGTCATGATCCGCATTCCGTAATTCAAGTCAAAAGGCTTGCCAGTATAATCAAAATTTACGGACCAAAGCATGCGGTAAACCTGAGCGCAAGCCTTGCCAAATAGTTGATTATTTGCAAGGAACAACTTTCTGAAACCATTACACATGTAAGCATCTTCAATTCTAACAACTCTCACAGCTCATTATTGTCATCTTTGTTACCTATGACTTATGAGACTAGAAAATGAGAGGAGAAACTTTTGCTCCTGTTTGCCTAGGCTCTGCAGTGTGTTAACAATTTCGCAATGTGGAGAGCTCCTCATTGCGGGAATCCTCTGCTGCATTATAGCATAAAAGTTCTTACATTTGGTGGGCATTAGGTGATGCCTTTTCTTGAGGAATATGAATAAGAATGAGATTTTATGCAAAACGGTTTTAGCATTAGGAGTTATTCTGAAAAATTTTGTAAAACAATAGAGCTTTTTTCGCAAGGGTGATAATTTTTCCCTTGGCCCCTCTTCACTTTTCAACCTCTGTCGGAGCATCTGATGCAGAGAATAGACACCTTGATTGGTTAGAATTAGAGTACAAACAATTTGTTGCTTTAAAATCAAAATTTATTATCACGATTATCCTTAATTACCGCTTGTATTTTTAAAAAGCTTAAAATTACGATTACATTCATTCAGCATAGCCGAATATTTTATGTTACCGCATGCCTTAGTTCTGCGCTCACGCTACGCCACTGCCGCTGATACCGTAGAATTTCATCTTATCAAGAAGAGTACCATGATCAACAGTAACAAAAGCCTTCTTAAGGTCAATAAAAATCATAGCTGTAAATTTCCTTTTGTCAATGTTGACGTACCAGTCATTCGTGCACTTCAGAAGGCATTTGACAACATAGTGTAAAGAGCAAAAACCGGACTGTTGTAAGCATATGATTTTGTTTTTGTCCAGATATCGATATAATTGGTCGTACACACGTTTTTCAAATAATCTAGAAACAGATGGTAGAAGAGATATTGGCCTGTAATTTTATCTTTCAGCAGATAGGCCCTCCTTAAATATGGGAGCTACCCTAGCAACTTTCAAGCTGTCAAGGAAAACACCCGAAGATAAGAAGAGGCTCGAAATATCACAGAGTGAATCAGAAACAACAGGAAAGGCTACCTTTAAGAAATAGCTGACAATGTTATCCACACCAGACCCATGTGATGTCTTGATCTTATTTGAGGCCTTTTTCGATTATCCTCATGTCGATGACAAAGAATTTGAATGGTTTTTTTCCATTCGAGGGATTTATTATATCGTATTGATGAGACAGAAAAAGAGGGTTAGGCTGGGCGGGCAACCTTTCACTGAGATTCTTCCCCACACTGCAGAAATAATCGTTCACCGAGTTAGCGATATCGTGATCGTTATTTATCTCCTGTTTGTTCACTCCACACCAAAGTCTTAACCATTCTCCTTTTCAACCATGTATTGAACTTCTTCGTTAATAGTTCTCTTCTCGAACTAAAGGCAACCTCTGCCAGCGCAATCCATGATCTTATCTCTGTCCTGCAATAACCGTTGCTTGTCAAAATGCTTCCAAGTTATTTAAAGCTTTTAACTTGTTCCAGATCTTTACCATTTAGCTGGATCGTTACATCATCTTCGCCTCTTTTGTTGATCCCCACCACTCTCGTTTTCTTTTTGTAAATTTCCAAACTCTTCAACAACTGAATTCAGACTGTCCATTATGTCCTGTAACCCCTCCTCGGAATCTGTTACCATGCTCCCGGTTAAATATAGTCCTGGGTACTATATTTAATAAATTGACTTCAGAGGGCTCATTTCCAAACAACTGGAAAGTTGCTAGAGTAGCCCTTATCTATAAAGAGGGGCCTGCTGAAAACAAGTCAAACTACAGACCTATATCCGTGCTCCCGGTTGCTTCACGTCTTTTGAGAAGACAATCTTCGACCAACTTTTCGCCTACTCCGAATTCTACTCATATCATCCGGCTTCAGGGCCCTGCACTCAGTTTTGACGTGCTTATTGAAAAGTAGTGATGACTGGTACCATGATTTTTACAAAGGACTCCTTTCATCTGTAGTATTTATCGCCTTGAAAAAAGCCTTTGATACTGTAGATCATGCAAGTCTCATTCAAAAGCTTTTTTATTATGGAGTGCGGGGAGAGGAGTTGGATTGGTTTAAATCGTACTTACAGGATCGTAAACAATGCTGTAAAGTAAATGGACATAGATAAAAAATAGCAAAGCGTGAACTGCGGCGTACCGCAAGGATCGTGCCTCGGTCCACTTCTATTTATATATATCTAAATGTTTTGCCCTGTGTGTTGCAAAGCACAAAAGTAATCATGTATGCTGATGACACAAGCATTTCGTAGTCATCAAAATCTATAGCCGAGGTAAATGAAGCAGTTAATTCACCTTAAAAGGCTTCAGATTTGGTTGGAAGGTAATAAACTCTCTCTTTTTGTAGCCAAAATGCAAAGCATGATCCTTGGGTCATCGAGTGATTTAAAAAAGCATTATATGGAAAATTGAGATCCTGTGATCAATCTCTGTATAAACGAGGAAAACCTAGTTATGATTGGATCAAATAAGTATCAAATGAGTTCAGATTGATTTAGAACTTAAGTGGAGATAACATATAACTTTTTCTATAGGCAAGATTATAGGCTCGGTGTGGGATTTTTGTGGAGAAACCCTGCTCGATAAGCTTTATTAACAGCTCTTGCAATGAATCATCTCTTCCATTGATTGAAAGCCTAGGGTGGTTAACTACAAAATAAATGATTGAATTTGAAACTGCAACTGCAGTTTACAAGTCTCTCCGTGGATTAGCTCCTGAATAGATGTTTATAGAATTGTCGGAAAACAGTTCACGGTCTCTCCGTATACCGGTATGGATCTTAGAATACCTCGCTTTGCAACCTCTTCCAGGCAA